TGTCAGTCCAGCAACCCACCCCTCCTCCATAGGTATGAGTTCAGCCCCACAAGGCCTCTCTTCCAATATCCTGCCTTTCAACAATTCTAGTCACGTCTCTGTGTTCCTGCTTTGCACTTTGCCCCACGTGAGGTGGGATCAACAAACTACCATCACCCAAAACTGGTTCGGATGTTGAAACTGATGACACTGCAGACACCAAGAGGTTATGAAAAAGTTTACTATTCATGAGGCTTTTTAGGGGAAGGAAAGCAGGCACCCAAGCCAGTCAGTTGGGCTTCAATGAAAGGAAGGGCAAGTGGCTCTGGGTTTTCTTGTGGTTAGGAGAGCTCAGTGCATTTGTGACAGCAAGGGTTTGCATAGTTTGAACTTCCCCTCTGGTGCAAAGAGGATGTGCCTGGGTTTTTTCAGCTTGTCCAGTTGCGAGCACGTTAAGGGGGAGAGCTTGAAAACTGTTAGCAGACAAACATCAAACATGGGGAGACGCTATTCCAGCTCCCCCAGTTCTGGGGTGGAGGCTACTTAACAGTTGCTACCTCCAACACACCTTGGCATTTTCTTCTTTTCAGCTACTTAAATATAGGACATTTCTTTGTAAGTTCTCTGCTAAGATAACTGGTGTGGTTTCTGGCAACTAAAACCTGGCTGATGATATAAAATCTCCTTGCTGTTCTTAGCAGGGTTAGCATCAACTTTAAAAGGTGTGGTAGCTGGCATGCAAATATTTACTCCCCTTTTCCTCATCTACCTAATAAAGTGAATGACTGACAAGCATCTCCATCCTCTGGATTCCATTTCTTCATTAAAATTATGAGTTTATAGCTTCTGGCTTCCCTTATTAAGCAAAATCAAGGAGATTTAGGCAAGGAGGAGCTTATAATTTCCTATAAAGTGCATGTCTTGGTGACTGTGTGTCAGTATATGGAGAACATCCTCATTTTTAAAAAAACTGTTGCCTGGTATTCCTTCATAGACATACTAGTTACTTAACCATTTCTTTACTAACAGCCATTTGTATTGCTCCTGTTACCAGAAAGTGGTCCTGATCCAGTCCCCAAGAGACAGTTCTTGGACCTCACTCAAGAAAATAGTTCAGGTGAGTCCACAAAGTGAAAGTAAGTTTATTAAGAAAGTAAAGAAATAAAGAATAGCTATTCCATAGGCAGAGCAGCCCCAAGGGCTGCTGGTTGTCTATTTTTATGGTTATTTCTTGATTATATGCTAAACAAGGGGTAGATTATTCATGAGTTTTCCAGGAAAGGTGTGAGCCATTACCAGAACTGAGGATTCCTCTCCTTTTTAAGACCATATAGGGTAACTTCCTGATGTTGCCATGGCATTTGTAAACTGTCACAGCACTGGTGGGAGTCTTTTAGCATGCTAATGCATTATAATTACAGTATAATGAGCAGTGAGGACAACCAGAAGTCACTTTCATTTCCATCTTGGTTTTGGTGGGTTCTGCCAGCTTCTTTACCACATGCTGTTTTATTGGCAAAGTCTTTATGACCTGTATCTTGTGCTGACCTCCTATCTCATCCTGTGACCTGGAATGCCTAACCTCTTCAGAATGCAGCCCAGTAGGTCTCAGCCTTATTTTATCCAGCCTCTGTTCAAGATGGAGTTGCTCTGGTTCAAACACCTCTGACACTCCGAATTTTTGCAGGTGAGGAAATGGAACCTTTGAAAGATTAGGTGGCTCACTCTAAGTAACATCATGTACCTGGCAGGGATTTCTATAAAATCATAAGATGTCAGAGACCGTGCTTAAGGAATATTTTTACTTTGAAATACTTTAAGCAAACAGTTAAAAAGAACCCACCACACTAGCCTGTTAAAATCTTAACATTCTGATGCCTCTGCATCAATTTTTAAAAAGAAAGAAAACACAACTGAAGCTCCTATTACCCTCCCCAAATCCATCACCTTCTCCTGCCTTAGAAAGGCAGAATGGTGACTTGCACACATCATTCCAATACGTGACTTTATGCTCAATTCATATTAATTGAATCCACATGAAAGAGATTACTGTGCAAAACAATAACACTTTCTATATGTCCACAATGCTTACATGCCAGACACTATTCTAAGTATTTCACATGCATTACTTCACTGACTGCCCCCCACCCCCAATCACACTGTGAGATTGCCACTACTATCCCATTTTACAGAAAAAGTGAAAAACAAGTAAGTTGAAGTAATGTGCCCACAGATACACAGTATGCTTAACTTTACACAAACAGTAACTTATGTGTAGCTTCTGCAACTTTCTCTGCGTAATTTTTCATATATCTGTGTTGAGACAACTTTCATATTCACTTTCCAAGGACCAAAACCAACCCATTTATTTATCCATTCTTCTGCTGATGAAATGCAGGCTTTTCCCAATCTTGCTACCTAAACAATGCTTCCATGAATAGTCTTAAACTCATTTCTCTGTTCACATGGCGCTCCTCTAGGATGTGTCCAGGAGTACAGCTGCGGGGTGGTTAAGTGCACACAACCTTACAAGATTTTGCAAATCACCTGACACAGTATTTCTCACAATTTCTACTTCAAAAGCAGTGTGAATTATCATTGTTCCACACACTTACACACAGGGGCTTTCAAAAATGTGCCAGCTTGATGAGTGTGAGATGGTCTGTATTATTTCACATTTCCCATGCTTTGTCCTCTGCACATGCCTCTGGTCGGAGTCTTGGTCAGCCTTAGGCTGGGGTGGGGCAGCAGGGGTGGGGCACACCTCACTGAACAGGTGACAGAAGGACCTTCAGAGACCTACTCCAGCCCATCTGGCTCTCCTCAACCCCAACTTCAGTTCCTCCAAGGGAGTGGGGAAAAGATGGATAAGGTTGGAAAGAACCTGAATATTCTCCAGGCCAGGATGAGATACAAGATGAGATCTGGTGCTCAGACTAGGGCAATCAGAAACTTGTCAACAAGAGCCATAAAGCTCAGAACCACCCAAAGCCAGGTTCCTAACCAGCAGGTGTGTGCCTGTGGGTGGCTTCCAGTCAACATTTCACTCCACAGCCCCTTAAAAAAGCCCCAACCCTGACTTAGCCAAACTAAATTCAGTTCCTGATTTCTTAACGGGAAATTTTGTGCAAGATCTCTTCTGCATGGCAAACAGATAAATAAGCACCCAACCCTGCTTTCCAGAGTGCTTGGTCTAGCTATGGTGATAGGCATAACCAAAAATACAAACACCACCTGACACAGGCATCAAGAGATGTGGGGCCAGGGGCTTAGAGGCATGGGGGTCAGACAAGGTCAGGCCTTGAAGAATGAAGAGCTGGACTGGCACAGACAGGGGTGTGGCACTCCAGGTGAAGGGAGGCAGAACAAGGCGGAACACGCCAGGGGGTTGGGGTGGGGAGGGGACAGGAAAGCCAAATCCAACACTGATTCTGCCAAAATCTTTAGTAGTTAGCACCAAGTAGTGAGGCTTTTATTTTTTTCCCTTTCAGCTAATCTGAATTTATTAATATTTATGTAATTATCACATAGTACTTATGGAACTAAAATTATTTGAAAACTCAGGTTACTGGACAAATGGCATCAGTATAAACCCAAATATAAATGGCTTACTTCAGGATAAAATAATTTGTTTTTCACTTCATCTTTGCACATTTTAAAATTTGATTAGAATGTTTAAAAATAAGAAAATTTCATTCTATAAAAATGACAATAGGTCAGGCACAGTGGCTCACGCCTATAATCCCAGCACTTTGGAAGGCAGAGATGGGAGGACTGCTTGAGTCCAGGAATTTGAGACCAATTTGGGCAACAAGGAAAAAAAATTAAACTTTTGTCTCCACAGAAAAAATATTTAAAAATAGCTGGCATGGTGGCAAACACCTGTAGTCCCAGCTACTCAGGAGGCTCAAGTGAGACACCTGAGCCTGGGAGGTCAAGGCTCCAGTAAGCTGTGATCCTGCCACTGCACTCCACCCTGGGCAACCCTGTCTCAAAAGAAAAAAAAAAAAAAACCACAGGAAAAATATCCCTATACTGGGGCAGGAACTTTACAAGGTGCCCCATGGCAAAAGGGGCAGAGATAGGGGTAGGGGGTGCTAAAAATGTGGACAGAAAGGGGCATTGCCATAGTTATAACACCAACTGACATGGAAGCTGCACCTCTGTGAGGGTCCTGGTCCTAGAGGTTAACCATCTAACGGAGAGCCCTGGTAAACCAAGCCCTCTTTTACCAATCTCAGGAGTCAGGTAGCACAGACAAGCACTCTAACTTCACACAGAATGATGCAGAGGTTCATTAACTTGCCCAAGATCATTCCCACCAAGAAAAGGCACACCATGCCTGGAACCCAGATCTGATGATGCCAACACCCTTCCTGTAACCGTGGCCTCTGCCCAGCCACTTCTACTGCCAGTTTTGGGACAGTGAAGGGACATCTTCACTGCCATGAGCACCTGCTGCCATAGGAAGGCAAGAGGATGGCAGAACCAAGATGACCAAACCTTCCTGAGGACAAAGCTGAACAGGCATCAGAACACCAACAGGAGACGTCTGCCCTGTCCCAACCATCCTGTGATACCACTACACCATATCAGAGCCTTCATTCTCACCTGCTCATGACAATCCAGAGAGGATAAGATTACTCTGTACTCTACTGAAAAAGACATCTTCCAGGTTGGTTTCTCCTCATAAGAAATGACCAGCTCCATGAATGGGCCCTACTAATTGCAGTAAAATGCAGTCGGGGACACTGCTCTACTATTAGACATTAAGACATTTTATCCTTACATTTATAATCTGACATCTTCAATAATCAGAAGCAATGATTACTCACATACTTTAGAAATTTCAATCTTTTGCCTTTAAGTAATTGATTCTTGCTTTTTGCTTCAAGACAAGTAGGTGGGCCAGTGAGGGAGCTCCTCCCAGAACAGACCACCCTTTTCTCCTGAGGGCAGCAGGCACATGCGCTGGTTCCTTTGGGTTGAATCTGATGCCAGCACCAGATCTCATACATGGAGGGGTATATGAAGGCGAGAGGGGGTATGTGAGGGCGAGAGGGGGTATGTGAAGGCGAGAGGGGGTATGTGAAGGTGAGAGGGGGTATGTGAGGGCGAGAGGGGACCTGCAGTGTGCAGAGGCTAGAGATGTGCACACAATGCTAAGTGTTTACATCTGCTGAGGCCAAGGATTCTACAGAAAATTCAGAAATGGAGTGAGGAGGAGTCTGATTTATGGGAACTAGCAGCAAGGATAACTTCATGAGAAGCCCTTCAACCATTCCATTTTACTGAGTCTTTGGATCTATGGTTAACCCCTGTAAAATGTAATTCAGATTCAGATCATATCACTCCTCAACTCAAAACTGTCCAAAAGCTCTCTGCCTTCCTCTGAGGCAGCTCAAGCCCCCGTAATGACCCATGAGGCTCACGTCGCTCCCTGACCCCTCTCCTCCCCTTCCAGCTGGCTCCCTGCACTCCATCCTAGGGGCCTCCTTGCTATCCTGAGGACATCAGACAAGACCCAATCTCCTCTGCCTGCAACTCTCCCTAGAGAGCTATCTGGCTTGCTCCCTGGCCTCCTTCAGGTCTTTGCTCAAATTTCACCTTCTCAGTTGAGGCCCTCCCTAATCAGACTATTTAAAATCACAACTGACTTCCCAATCCAGCACACCCTCTCACTCTTCTCTGATTCACGTTGTCTACCACACACACATCACTATCCGGAATACTAAATATCCCATTTGTTTGTCAACTATAAAGATCCAAGATGGCAGGATTTTCATCTGTTCTGGTCTCTGCTGGGTGTCCAACAAATACACCAGTGCCTGGTGTAGAGGAGGTGATCAGCACGTTTCTGTTAAACAGATGGACCACTGCTGCCTGTGCAGGCCTGTGGGATGGGAATGGCAACAGGGTACTGATAGAGCTCCACATGCCAAGCGCTTGAGCCCAGCATCTTGCTGTCCTCCACCAGCCACTGAGACCACTCTAACCCCCCAGCAGATATCCAAAAGCTAGCTAGAAAGGCTAAAGCCCCAGCCAAAACTCCCCAGGGGGCATTTGGGAAGACTAGGAGTTCTTGATGCTGCTGCTTTTAGTCAACAGAATAAGCATGGCCATAGGCAAAACTTGAAGATAAATCTAGGATCCCACTGGCCCCTTTCCAGAAGCCACAGACCACGACGCCACAGACATTTTATCCAACCACAAAGGGCAATGGTTTTTCTCTTCAGAGTTGTGGAAGGAGACCTGACAGGGGGAGCTGCAGGCTATGGTACAGACACCAATCCTAGGGGCCCAAGTCTCCAGAAGGGCTCCAAAGAACATGCTGCTGCATTTCCCCAGCGTCACATCCCAGCAGGCAGGCTGAAGACTCCCCGAGCCTTTAAATCCTTGGGATTCTGTCACTAGCTTCCGAAATAGAAAGGGCTGGGCCCTTTGTGAAGGTTTCCCCACACTGCCTAAAATTAAGGGTTCTCTAGTAGGGGACTGAGAACTCACTCCCATTGTCACTGTCAGACCCCGGGCTAATCTCTAATATGGTTTTTCATATGCCGAGCCAGATTCGAAGACCATCTGAAGGTCTTCCCACACTTGCTGCATTTGAAGGGTCTCTCTCGAGTATGAAATCTCTTGTGGCTAATGAGTTGTGAACTCTTGGTAAAAGTTTTCCCACATATGCTACATTTGTGGCACTTTTTCCCAGTGGTTATGTCCTGGAGTTCATCAAGCCTGGAGCTCTGGTCGCAAGCTTCTTCACAGTCTTCGAGAGGCATTTCTTCACTTGGTTTTAATTTCTGCAATCTCAACTTTGTGTCCTGAGAGGAAGATAGCCCAGGCGGGCTATGTTCAGCCTGTGCTGCTCTGGTGTGTTTACTCTGGTGACTGGAAAGGGTCTGTCTCCCAATGAACTCTTTCCCACACCACTGACATTTGAAAGGTCTCTCTTTAGTGTGGATCCTCTGATGGTTAACAAGGCGATAGTTTCTATCATATGATTTCCCACACAGATTACATTTATAGCGCTTCTCTCCACTGTGTATTCCCTTATGATCTAAAAGGGTTCTTTTACGTGTAAAGGTTTTCCCACATTCTTGACACCAAAAACGTTTCTCACCAGTGAGGATTTTTGGCTCCACATCTGGAGTCTTTTCACTTTCATGGCAATCATACTGTTTTTGAAGAGAGTGAATCCTCTGATGTCGGTAGAGATTAGAACTCCACCTGAAGGCTTTCCCACACTCCCTGCACTTATATGGCTTCTCTCCAGTGTGAACTCTCTGATGGATGAGGAGGAATGAGTGATTGCGGAAGGCCTTGCCACACTGGCTGCATTGGTAGGGCTCCTCTCTGGTGTGACTGCTCTGAGGAACCTGGAACACTCTGTCCTGACTAAAAGATGGCCCACCCTCAGGTTTTCCTTTCATGGCATGCTTCTTCTTATGAACAATAAAGGCTGACCTATAGGCAAAGTCCTTCCCACATTCGCCACACTGGTATGGTTTCTCACCTGTGTGAATTCTCTGGTGGTCAATGAGAGTTTTCTTTCTAGTAAAAGTTTTCCCACACTGCTGACACAAAAATGTTTTCTCCACAGTGGGGGCACCGTGGGGCTGACTGTGGTCAGGGGCTTGCCTGAAGTCTTCACGACATTCATCTTGTTTGTAGAATTTTTCCTCCTCATGCAACCTCATATGACGAGTAAAGTTTGATCTCCACCTAAAGGTTTTCCTACATTTGTTACATTTATAGGGCTTCTCCTGGGTGTGAATCCTTTGATGTTCAAGAACATACGATTTACAGTGGAAAGATTTCCTGCACTGGCTGCAGTCAAAGAGTTTCTCTCCGCTTTGGTCTCCCAAATGATGATCAAACCCTGAGCTGTAGGTAAGAGCTGCCCTATACTGATTCAATTCAAGAAATTTCTTCTTAGCATGGGTTTCCTGGTGCAGACGATAGGCTGACAGACGTCGGAAAGCTTTCTCACATAAATCACATTTATAAGGTTTCACTCCAGTGTGAATTTTCTCATGCCGTGCACAGTTGGAACTCCACCGGAAGGCTTTCCCACACACTCTACATTTAAATGCTTTCTCTTGACTGTGAAGTCTCTGATGATATGCAAGATGGGAGCTATGACTGAAAGTCCTTCCACAGTCACTGCACTTAAAAGACACTCCCACTGTGTGAAGACTCTGCCCATGCTGGTGATGAGAGCTAAGGCTGAAGTCTTTTCCACACAAATCCTTTTTGCTCCCTTTCAGTCCAGTATGAATTCTCTGATGTATGCTGAAGCCCCCAATCATGTGTCTGAGCCCCTTCCCATATTTCTTGTAGTCATAGTGGTGTGAACTCATTCTAAAGTGTTTGCCACAGCCATGTTTAAGGGACTGCTTTCTTCCAGAAACTCTCAAATATGTAACATGTTTTAAGTCAAGACTATTACCTCCTGATACTTCACAGTCTTTTCCTGTCCTGTGACTGAAATCAGTCTCTTCTTTCTTAACTCTCACTTGTATGGGGTTTTCACATTGATCCTTCAGCCTGCTCTGTTGAAAAGATTCTCTGAGCCCAATTCCCTCAGAAACACTTGCTGCGGGACATTCTGATGACACAGCTAAGGTTTCTGCTCCTTCCAAAGGTTCCTGATTTACGATGAATTTCTTTGTTTTAATTTGAAGGTCACCTCCTGACAAAAAATAAAACAAGAGAGAATGTACTCTTTTTCCATACTTAGAACTGCAGAAAGCACCAAAGGGCAATAAAATGCCTGGGTGGTGAGGCTTTTGCCTGACTGCCAATACCTTTACAAAATAGTCAAACATAAGGCAAAACATGGAAGATTATCCCAGATAACAGGGAAGGGAGGAGAAAAGCAAGATGGGCAGGGCAGGTAGAGATATGCAGACATCACATCCAGCAGGGAAATAAAAAGGATTAAAAAGAAAGTGTTAAACAACCAGAGTAGGAGAAGAATCATGGCATTATAGAAAGGTACCCAAAAGCCAAGGGGTGGGGCTCCAAGGAGCACCTGGCTGAAAGGGCTAGAGATCAGCCTATTACAGAAGGAAGGATCAAGAAAAGAAAGAACAGGGGTGGGATGAGGACTCCTAAGAGCAGGAAGGGGTGAGTACAGGGGATTCAGCAGGAGTGCAGGCCAGGAGTGAGGGCACAGGGCTGAGGAGGAGCACCAGTGAGTGGAAGAGAGGAACAGTGAAGCCCTCCAGCAGGCAAGAACTATTATTGAGAGGGCTGCTGGGGAAGGGGGATGGGAAAATAGCCATGGTCAGAAATGAATGACCTCTTAGAAGCCAGCCAGGATGGAATGGAAGAGTGGCCCAAGCACCCTTAGGAACACTGTTAAACATCTTCCTTCTAGCAAACAACGGAATAAATTCCCAGTAACGTACCTCACGTTAAGAAAGAGAAAAGTAAAAGCAGGAGGAGCAGGACCTGGCAGGTTCTCTGGAACTCACCTGTAGGGGCAGCACCTGGATTCCCCTTAGGCTGAGCTACTTGCACGTTCAGGCCCCACGGCTCCCTTGCTTCCAACCAGGAGATCAGAGCAGGTTTGGTGAATGGTCCCACTGCAGAAGAGAAGGGAATGGGAGATGGGAAGGGAGATGGATGACACAGAACTACTCTCTAGGACCTCTGGGCCTGAAGTCCTGGTGGGGAGGTGGGAAAGGCCAGGAAGGCAGGCAGTGAAAGCTAGTGAAGGAACCCCAGTCATTTCAAATAGCCCTGAGCAGACAGAGATAGGAGAGGTTGAGAGAAGTTGGCAGCAAAAAGATTACTAGAATTTTCCGGAGGTGAGAACATGGCTACTTAATTGGTTGCATCAGCCAACATTTTTTGAATGCCTAAATGGACTAGGAACTTAAAACATACTACCTTTAATCTATTGTTTTTGTTTGCTTGTTTTCAAATAGGTTCTCACTTTCTTACCCGGGCTGGAGTACAGTGGCTTGATCTTGGCTCACTGCAGCTCTGACCTCCTGGGTTCAAGCAATTCTCCAGTCTCAGCCTCCCAAGTAGCTGGGATGACAAGCGTGAGCACCACATGCTTGTATTTTTGTATTTTTTGTAGAGACAGGGTTTCACTATGTTGCCCAGACTGGTCTCAAACCCTGAGCTCAAGATATCTTCCTACCTGGCCCTCCCAAAGTGCTGGGATTACAGGTGTGAGCCACCACATCCAGCCACCTTTAATCTTTACAACAATCAAGAATGGCAGGCATTATTCGCCCCATTTTTCAAAAGAGGATACCAAGATGCTGGATTAAATGATCTGGTTAGTAGTTACAGAGCCAGGATCTAAAACCAGGTCAGGTCCCTTTCTATGCAGCAGAAAACAACCCAAGAAGGCAGAAATAAAGACGGATATAAGCACAAGGATATTAATTACTTACCCAGGAAGGCCATGTTCCTATAATTCTCCAGCATCACATCCCTGTATAGGTTTCTCTGAGCTGAGTCCAGCAACCCCCACTCATCCTGGGAGAAGGTCACCTCCACATCCTTGAAAGTCATAGTCTCCTGCAAAAACACTGTGCCCTAGAGCTGGTCCACAGCTCCCAGCTTTGAGGTGGAAGGGGAGGGAAGGGGAATAAATTGGCTCTGTGTGAGTACAGGATGGACCTGGCAAAGATGAAAGGGAAGACCATCACCCAGCAGAAGAACTCTGGGCTCAAAGGGGATTATCTGGTCTCTGGGACATGGGTCTTTGGATGTGAGGTTACTAGACAGAGAAACCCAGGATGGGGGAGCAGCACTATCTCATTAGGCAGTGATGTGGAGACATCAGGAAGGAACGAACGTCCTGTGGCTCACCTGGAGCTGAGCTGTCAGGGACCTGGTTGCTGTTACCTGGTCTCCTGGGCACCCCTCTCTCTGGAAAAGGGCAGGCATCTGGGCAGCAGGAGGATCTGAAGGAGAAAAAGCCATGAGAGAGTGGCTCAGCTCTGGATAGCCCACTGAGAAACCCACTCTTCCCCCCAGTAGAGGATTCCTGGACCCATGAGCAGGTACAGAATGTTGTTAAATACCCATCTCACATGTCCTCAGTCTACTGGGGCCAGGAAAGGGGTAGTAAGAGGGGATGTAGTAGGGGAGGAGTGAGCCACATATGGGTCACAGAATGGATGGAGAGGACACAGAATTAAGAGCCAGGACAGAATAAGATTCTCATGAGAGGACAGATGTGAAAAGACAACACTACAGGAAATGCAAAAGGTGTGGCATAAGGCTGGGGTCTTAAGGCCAGGCAGCAAGTACCGGATTGCCCAGCCAGGAAGTCACGTGCTTCTATTTCATAGGGAGGCTCCAGGTGGTCCCCCAGAGCAGAGCCGCTCCTGAGAGGTGAAGCAAGAGACCATATCTGTGCAGATCGCAGGGCTCCTGTACCCATCCAATGCACATCTGGGCTCTGGGCAGGGCCCGGGTCCTGGCAAGAAGAAAATGTTGTGAGAGGATCTTTCTGGGAATCAGAAAGCAAACTCAGAGAAGAGGCCACATGGCCGATCTCCAAAGGACAAAGACCGAGGGGTGGGTAAGCCAGGTCCTTCATTACTTCCAGACAGGAGAAAAGGGCAAGAAGAAAGCCCAGGGGGTACCTCCAACCACCTCAGTCTCCTCGGGCTCTAATGAGAGCCATGGGAGAGTTCAGGTAGAGAGACTCTAGCTCAACACAAGGAAGCACATGGTAAGTCAGTACAGCACTCTTGTCGGGCCTCAGATGACACAATGTCACCTTCCCACTACCCCTCAGTTCCCACCTAAGGCCTGTAACTTAGAAATGAGAGAGAAGGAACTAGTTCCTGAGAATTAAATTCATAATAGTTCACAGCAGAGATACAGTCAAGTAATATTTACTATCAAGCACTGCTCTAGGCACTGATATACGAAGTGACCTCAAAGAGTCAGGCTAGCTCCCAAATTGTAAACTTGCCTTTAATAATAACACTGATAGAGAGGAAATGCCAATCATGAGAGTCAGCCATAAAACCACAGAAGAAAAAGTCTCCAGTGTAAAAAATGGCAGTATCCATCTAAGTAGAGACCAACAAAGAGGAGGTGTTTGCCCTGAGATTTCAGATAACTCTGGTCTCTGAGGCAAGGATGTCCCTCATATAGAGATGGGTAAAAGAAACTACAATTTGAGAATTTTCTGGTCCTGTGGCCGAGACAGTCTCTATAGTGAGATTTTTCACACTGTGATAATTTTGCTTAACCACAGACTGATTCTGTAACTTTACATGTATCTTAAAGCATTTCTTTTTTCAAATTTGGGGGAGGCTTTCTCCCAGCCCCCATTGTCTTCTAAGTGGCTTTCAACCAGGTAGGCCTTTTCTGCTTATGTGGAAATGTTTTCATGGATTTAAAAAATTACAACTAGCTGTAAATGAGTTGAATATAACCAAGCCATGATTTTGTAACTACTGTGTAGCTTATTTCCTTTTATAAATTATTCTCAGGTCCTTTTGAACATTTGTTTTGGTGAAAATAACAAACGTTCTTTAAAATTTTTTTAAATAGCACCCCATGTTGGGCAAAAATATTCTCTAATAGTTATACCCTGTGTTTTATTTATTAACATTTACTGCTGGTAGACCCTGTCCTGATATTTTACTTATTTATTTATTTATTTTTTTTTTTGAGACGGAGTTTTGCTCTTGTTACCCAGGCTGGAGTGCAGTGGTGCTATCTCGGCTCACCGCAACCTCCACCTCCTGGGTTCAGGCAATTCTCCTGCCTCAGCCTCCTGAGTAGCTGGGACTATAGGCACACGCCACCATGCCCAGCTAATTTTTCTGTATTTTTAGTAGAGACGGGGTTTTCACCATGTTGACCATGATGGTCTCGATCTCTTGACCTCGTGATCCGCCCGCCTCGGCCTCCCAAAGTGCTGGGATTACAGGCGTGAGCCACCGCGCCCGGCCTTATTTTACTTAATTTTTATAATAAAGTTTTAGAGACAAGTATGTCAAATTTGTTTCAGAATTTTATTTTTTAGACAGAGTTCAAGCAATTCTCCTACCTCAGCCTCCCGAGTGCTAGGAATACAGGTGAATGCCACCATGCCCAGCTAATTTTTGTATTTTTAGTAGACACTGGGTTTCACCATGTTGGCCAGGATGGTCTTGATCTCTGGACCTCATGATCCACCTACCTTGGCCTCCCAAAGTGCTGGGATTATAGGCGTGAGCCACTGCACCCAACCACAACTTTCATTTGTACATGAATTATGTATGCAGATTGTGTGTGTGTGAGATGTATATATATATATATATTTTTTTTTTTTTTTTTGAGACAGAGTCTCATTCTATTGCACAGCCTGGAGTGCAATGGTGCGCTCTCAGCTCACTGCAGCCTCTGCCTTCCAGGTTCAAGCAAATTTCCTGCCTCAGCCTCCTGAGTAGCTGGGACTATAGGCACATGCCACCACACCCGGCTAATATCTGCACTTTTAGTAGAAACGGAGTTTCACCATATTGGCCAGCCTGGTCTCGAACTCCTGACCTCAAGTGATCCACCCATCTTGGCATCCCAAAGTGTTAGGACTACAGGCGTGAGAATCATATATTTTTATGTAAATAAAATTGTAAAGAAGGCTAAAAAAGTGATCAATGCTTTTTTAAAAAACTGAAACAATATAGTTTAGCTCCCCTGTGTACAGCAGAAGGAGCAGGAAGAATGCACCTGAACTGACCTGCTACCACGCCACTGCCAGGCCTGGGACTGCCAATTCTTCCAGGGCCAAGCACATAATAAGCACTCAAATATTTACTGAACAAATTGTCATGATTAGACCATTTCTGAATTTTCTTCTCAATGAACAGAGGCTCTGAAAGGTACGATGATGTGGCCATGGACACTGAGGTTGTGGAATGATGCCTAAAATCAAGGTCTTCCTATTTCTCAGCTCAGCGCTGCCCCTCAGCACTCATGTCCATCTTCCCTGTCTCCCATCTCACACACACAGAACAGGTCCCCAAAAACTTACTGAGAAGTGCTGGGCACAGTGGTTCACGCCTGTAATCTCAGCTTTTTGGGAGGGTGAGGCAGGTGGATCACCTGAGGTCAGGAGTTCAAGATCCGCCTGGCCAAAATGATGAAATCACGTCTCTACTAAAAATACATGGTGCTGCTTGCTTAAAAAAAAGCTTACTGAGAAGAAAGCTACATGGTGCCTGCAGAGTGCTCTTCTGAGTTTTAACATGTACTCTCCCACTGAGAAGCCGAGAGCCCTGACCCTAAGTGCTGTCCCAACCCCTGCCATTTTACAGGGCTATGGTTAGTCTCAACTAAAATTAGATAATATGTGGAGACGGACTTTGTATACTGTAAGCCACTGTGTCCAAAGACTAGTTACTGGCCTTTTTTGTTTTGTTTTTGAGACACGGTCTTGCTGTGTCACCCAGGCTGGAGTGCAGTGGTGCAAACATAGCTCACTGCAGCCTTGACCTCCTGGGTTAAAGCAATCCTCCCACCTCAGTCCCCCAAGTAGCTGGGACTACAGTCACATGCCACCATGTCCAGCTAATTTTTGTAGAAACAGGGTTTTGCCACGTTGCCCAGGCTGGTCATGAATTCCTGCGCTCAAGCAATCTACCCACCTTGGACTCTAAGGGCTTGGATTACAGGTGTGAGCCACCATGCCTGGCCTAATTTTTAAATTATTTACAGAGACAGTAGGGGGTCTCCCTATGTTGTCCAGGCTGGCTTGAACTCCTGGGCTCAAGTAATCCTCCCACTTCAGCCTCCTAAAGTGCTGGGAATACATGTGTGAGCCACGGTGCCCAGAAGTTACTATTATTTATGGAGGCTTGCTGGCCCTATCTGGAGCTGATATTCCTTTGGGTATATCCTAAAGGGTCCACGGCTCAGGGTCCCGTTCTCAGCTGCTCAGGAACCACGGGAAGAAGGGAAGACTTCCCCTGCATTCCTCTATACTGACAGTTCAGAGGGCCACCCTCATCCCCAGACAAGCTGGCTAACCAGCAGGCAGAGTTCCCTGGGCACCACACACTTGCTCACACTCACCCTATGTGATGTCCCATCAAGGTCCCTCTGCAGCTCCTCCAGCAAGGCCACAGCCTCCTCACCACTCTCAGGGTTATGGAGCTGCACCCAGACCCGGAGCTCCGCAGGCAGGATGCTCAGGAACTGTTCCAGCACCAACAGCTCCAGGATCTGTGCCTTGGAGAGAACATCAGGCCTCAGCCACCAGCGACAGAGTTCCCGGAGCCGGCTCAGAGTTTCTAGGGGCCCAGAAGACTCATGGTAGCGAAGCTGTCTGAAGAGCTGGCGGAACAGCTCCTGGCCAGGGCGGTTGAGTGTCTGTGGCCTGGCAGTCTGCACTGGAATATAGCTTTCATCCTCTTCTTCCTTCTTTACTGTCTGAAGCCGCCCTCGCTCCCTTGAAGACTGGGCCTGAGCTGGATACACAGCATGCCACCTGCCTGGAGGCATCACTCCTGTTCAGGGACTACCCAGAAGAGCACGAGCCAAGTCCACCTTAGATGCGGGTCCTCAGAAGTATCTTCTCAGCATTGCAGTGAACAATGCCATTTGCTGAGCCATCAGAAGTCTTTGGCAAGTGACTGAAATAATCAGTATTTCTGTGCAGGAGGGGATGAGAGAATGATGTCCATTATACACGGTGCAGTTGGATCTTGATGGTTGGGATCATCTTTGTATGTATGAGAAGAGCATTTGCACAGAGGTACATGCCAGTATCAGGCAGACCAGAGTTAGGTTGTCCCCTATTGGAGTAAGGTAAGAAAATATCCTACATTAAAACATATGCTGAACTTGTACATTAAAACTTTGTAAAAAACACAAAGCGAAAAAAGTCAGAGGAGATCTAAATAAATGAACAGACATACTATATTCATGTACTGGAAGATGTGACACAGTAAAGATGTAAATTCTCTCAAAATTGATCTATAGGTCTAATGCAATTCCTACCAAAATCTCAACAAGATCTTTTTGTAGATGAACAGACAAGATTATTCTAAAATTTATGTGAAAAGCCAATGGAATTAGAATAGCTAAAATTATGACAGGTCAGGCAAGGTGGCTCACACCTGTAATCCTAGCACTTTGGGAGGCCGAGGCAGGTGGATTGCCTAAGCTCAGGAGTTTGAGACCAGCCTGGGCAACATGGTGAAACCCCATCTCTACTAAAAATACAAAAACTTAGCTGGGCATGGTGGTGTGTGCCTCTAATCCCAGCTACTCGGGAGGCTGAGGCACAAGAATCACCTGATCCTGGGAGGCAGCAGTTGCAGTGAGCCGAGATCACACCACTGCACTCCGGCCTGAATAAGACAAGACTCTGTCTCAAAACAAACAAACATGCCAACAAACAAACAAAAAACAATTATGACAAGAATAAAGTGGGAGAGATCAGCCTGAAAACAGTCTACCTGATTTCAAGACTTATAGCTACAGTAATGAAGACTGTGTAGTATTGGTGGAGGAAGAGACACATAGATCAATGGAATAAGACAGAAAAACCAGAAACAGAACCTCACAAGTATGCCCAACTAAACTGTTTAATATTAAATGTGATTTTCCTATTATAATATTTTTAAATATCTCAAATGAGCAATTCAAAAACCAAAGAAAATGCTGACTGAGAATCCTCTAGTTGACTTTATGACCCAACAATGGGTTACAAATTATAATTTGAAAACTACCCTAATCCAGCTTCCCACTCAATCTTTGTATTTCTTTTTATAATTCACCATAAAATGTGGTATCCAAGGGTTCAAGCCACTTTTAGGAGATAGCACTTTGGGCGGCCAAGGTGGGTGGATGCCTTGAGGTTAGGAGTTCGAGACCAGCCTGACCAACATGGCAAAACTCCAACTCTACAAAAAATACAAAAAATTAGCTGGGCATGGTAGCATGTGCCTGTAATCCCAGCTACTCAGGAGGCTGAGGCACAGGAATTGCTTGAGCTTAAGAGGCAGAGGTTTGCAGTGACCCGAGATCTTGCCACTGCACTCTGCACTCCAGCCTGGGCAACAGAGCGAGACTCCATCTCAAAAAAGAGACTATCTGGAGTATATTTTGAGCTCTGAAGGATGTTTGTTTCTTCATACCTGGGGAAGGAGCTTGTGCTACATATCACATCACTATGTAGGAGTCCACACCTGTGATACACCCAACTGATTTTTATTTCTTTTTTAAGGCAAGGTCTTTTGCTGCTGCCCAGGCTGGAGTGCAGTGGTGTGATCATGGCTCACTGTAGCCTCAAACTCCTAGGCTCAAGCGATCCTCTTGCCTCAGCCTTCTGAGTAGCTGAGACTACAGGCATGTGACACCACACCCAGATAACTTAAAAATTATTTTTAGAGATGGGGCCTATGTTACCTAAAACTCCTGGCCTCAAGCAATCGATCCTCCCACATCAGTCTCCTAAGTAGCTGAGATTACAGGCATGAGCCACTGAGCCCAACCTCCAATCGATTTTTGATAAAGATACAAAAGCAGTTCAAAAGAGGAAGGGTAGTCTTTTCCCCAAATGTCGCTGGAGCAACTGGACATCCATAGGCAAAATAAGGAAAGCTGACTGAAATCTCGCCTCTTATACACTTGAATTCAAAATGGATCAGACTTAAATGTAAGCCATAAAACTATACAATTTTTAGAAAACAACACAAGAGGCTGGGCTTGGTGGCTCACACCTGTAATCCCAGCACTTTGGGAGGCCGAGGTGGGAGGATCATGAGGTCAGGAGATTGAGATCATCCTGGCCAACATGGTGAAACCCCGTCTCTACTAAAAATACAAAACCTAGCTGGGCATAGTGGCGCACAACTGTAGTCCCAGCTACTGTGGTGGCTGAGACAGGAGAACCGCTTGAATCTGGGAGGCGGAGGTTGCAGTGAGCTGAGATTGTGCCACTGCACTCCAGCCTGGGCAACAGAGTGAGACCCCATCTCAAAAAGCAAACAAACAAAACCACATAGGAGAAAACCTTTAGGATCTAGGATGAGGCAAATAGTTCTTAAGTTTGATACCTGTGATATGATATACATACACGTTGGTCCTTATCCATGGTTCATGGCTCGTAACTCCCATAGCCCTTGTTATTTCCTGAGTGACTAAAACAATAAGCATATCTTTTGTTAAATTATTTGGCCTTTGTCCTTGGTTCCTGAAGCAGCTTTGGAACTTCAGAGTGATAAAGGTAAGGTAGCCTTTTGTTATAATATTGGGGCATTTTAGGCCTCAGAAGCAGGGCTCAGAAAACAGAACATCTCTCTCTGACCTTTTCCTGCCCTCCCCTCACTGGTTCCTTTTTCTCCCCCCAAGGCAGGCCATAGAAACTAAAACATATGGTAATCTTTCCCCCTTTTCTGTCTTGGTGCTGGCCATAAATTCTCTGACCTATTTTATCTGATTGTAAGTCATAAGAGCCCCATTTCAGAAGTCCTGCCTCATATTCAGTAGGTAGGAATGCTGTACAGAGAGACCAAGAAGAATTTGAACTGACAGCCTCACTGAGTGTCCCCACTCAGTCTATCAGTATGAGATCAAACTTTTTGTCCAGTCACATTTTACATGGTTGTCCATGGTTCAATCATGCTTACCCAATGAAGTCTCCATAAAGGGTCCAAGAGGATGAGGTACAGAGAACTATGGACAACTGCACTCGGGGAGGCTTGCAGGAAGGAACAAGAACTCATCCATGTGCCAGGATAGTGACACATCCCAACTCCACAGGAACGAAAGCTCCTGTACCTAGAACACTGCCAGACCTCCCTCTATTTATCTCTTCATCTAGTTGTTTATTGTATCCTTTAAAATATCCTTTACAATATATTGAGAAATGTGTTTCCTTGAGTTTTGTGAGCTGCTCTACCAAACTGAGCAATAACCAATCAGAAAATTAATCAACACAACAACAAAATAAAACACCCAGAAGTAAAGCTAATAAAAAATGTACAAGATCTTAAAAAAGAAACAGAAAACCTTGCCAAAAAAACTTAATAGATCTGAATAAATCTTAAGTATGGGAAGACAAATCTTTTTAAGATGCCAATTCTCCCTAAAGTAATGTGTGGTTAATAAAATCCCAAACAAATTCCAGTATCTCTTCTTAGGGCTTGATAAGCATATTCTAAAATTCAAGCAAATGAGTAAGAGGCCAAGAATAGCCAAGATAACTTTTTAGAGGTGAAAAGGTTTGTTCTACTTGACATTAAGGCTTACTATAAAGCTACATTAATGAAAACATTGAGTATTACTGAAAAAATATGCAAATAGTAAATAAAAGAAACAGTACGGCTGGGCACGGTAGCTCCTGCCTGTAATCCCAGCAATTTGGGAGGCCAAGGCAGGCAGATCATCTGAGGTCAGGAGTTTGAGACCAGCCTGGCCAATATGGTGAAACCCCATCTCTACTAAAAATAAAAAATTGGCCGGGCGCGGTGGCTCAAGCCTGTAATCCCAGCACTTTGGGAGGCCGAGGCGGGTGGATCACGAGGTCAAGAGATCAAGACCATCCTGGTCAACATGGTGAAACCCCGTCTCTACTAAAAATACAAAAATTCAGCTGGGCAAGGTGGCGTGTGCCTGTAATCCCAGCTACTCAGGAGGCTGAGGCAGGAGAATTGCCTGAACCCAGGAGGCGGAGGTTGCGGTGAGCCGAGATAGCACCATTGCACTCCAGCCTGGGTAACAAGAGCGAAACTCTGTCTCAAAAAAAAAAAAATAAATAAAAATAAAAATAAAAATAAAAAATTAGCTGGGTGTGGTGGCATGCACCTGTAATCCCAGCTACTCAGGAGGGTAAGGCAGGAGAATTTCTTGAACGTGGGAGGCAAAGGTTGCAGTGAGCTGAGATTGCACCACTGCACTCCAGCCTGGGCGACAGAGTGGGACTCCGTCTCAAAAAAAAAAGAAAGAAAGAAACAGTATATACAGAATCCTGACAAGAGCTTATGAATAAATATATATTTGGTTTATGATGGAGGTAACAATACAAATCAGTGGAAAGATTAGACTATTCAATGAATTGCATTGGGATAACTGGCTAGCCAAATTAAAATAAAACCACACACTGAGAGAATAAACTCTAGTTAAAGATTTATACTAAAAAAGCACATTCTTTATGTCCCAGGAATTTCCCTTCTAAGAATCTACCCTGAGAGCCAGGCATGGTGGCTCACACATGTAATCCCACCACTTTAGGAGGTCAATATGGGAGGATCACTTGAGCCCAGGAATTCAAGACCAGCTTGGGCAACACCGCAAGACTCCTTTCTATTTAAAAAATAAAATAAAACAAGAATCTACCCTAGAAAAATAGATGCATGGTATACAGACATTTACATGGGTGTACACTAGAGCACTCTGTAACACAATATTGAAAACAACCTACTTTCCCAACAATAGGCCTAAAGAAAAGTGAAACTGCCTTTGCAAAATTATGACTCAGGCTGTGAAAGAGATCTAAATTAACTGACTCCATCTTGCTTCTAATCTTCAAGCTGGCCTTGTTCATTCATGGGAATAGGCTGAATTAACTTTGGGAGAAACTTTGTTTATAGTTTAAACAAAGACAGTAACAGCCCTTTCCCAAAGCAGATCTCCTTCTTGCCTGGGGACTAGATTGCCTTTGCAGGACTAACATTAGCCACCAGATTAGAAATTATGGTTTAGGAGTCACGCAGCTGAAGCTACAAGATTCTGACCCACCCTAAACTGCTCCTAAAATCAATGCCTGAGATATTTTGCAGACTCTGCA